AAACTTTACAAAATGCAGCGGAGCAATTTTCCCCAAAAACAATATATTTTTTATTGCATCATAATTCAAAGAGTCTTTGTCAAAATAAATTCCATAGATAAAACTTCAAGACCAAAAAATGGTATAGGCAATATCCAATGAATATAAAAACAAAGTATATCCATCACACAGAGAGCTCTTTTAGAAGGGGGGGGGGGAGGTAGAAAAACACCAGTAGAGAAAATGGGGAAAGGACATGAGATGACGATTCATATGGGAAATACAGACAAATATTTAACAGTTGCAAAAAGTGGTCAATAACCAAGAAAATGCTTATTACCCCAAGATATCATTTTTTTATCCATCCATCAATATAATAAAGATTTTTATAAAAAATTATTCCAGATTTTCTCTTATTCTAGTGAAGGTTACTAAACTGGCATGTGTGTTTCTGAAAAGCAATTGGGCACTGAGCCAGGAAAAGAGAACAAGAGATAAGTAATATGCAATTTGCTTTGAAGAAATTCAGGCTGACAGAAACAAAAACAGGAGCAAATCCATGCAATAATCTCTTAGTTGCACTGAGAGAAATAAGAGGTGACAGTGGGATCAAAGAACAGAATGGTCAGTCCTTCCTGCAGAGAAGAAGAGCATCAGGGAAGACATGTGGATGACTGAGAGCTGCATTCTGAGAGACAAGTTGGTGTAAGTCAGACTGGAGGGGTCATCCCAGCACAGTGAGATTCCTGGGTGGGGTCGCTCACCTGGAGCTCAAGCTACAAGGGGAAAGGTGGCATGAGAAGTTCTCAGAGGTGAGCTCAGGAAGGGCATCCCTGCATTGGCTCACTGTGTCTGGGAAGGCAGGGCAGAGCTAGCATTGGATAAAGAAGTAAATAAACATCAGTTAAAAGAACAAACAAAGGTAGACTGTGGTGTCTCCCAGTGCTTCAGGGGCAAGGCAAGCATGTGAAGCAAGACTCTGTGAGGAGCCAGAAAGACAATTGACAGATGAAGGTATTGACAAAGGGCTGAAAAGAAGGAAACTGAAGCTCAGCTTTTTCCTACAGAAAACAAGTAACCATCAAATCAAGTGAAATCTTTCACAGTTCACTAGCACTTTACACACTGTAAGGGGGAATGAATTCTCTTTCATTGTGGCAAATCTGGAGGCAAATCCCAGACAGAAGTTCTTACCAAAAACATAATATTGCAGATGGACAAAAATCCATGTTTTCAGCTTTAAGGTTATAAGAGGAATATAAAATATGGCTTTGGGATTGCTCTAGGTTATAACATCACTGCCGATTCCTGATTGTCTAGTTCTGTGATGTTTCTGTAACACATAAAATATTTTCAGCTATTCCATGTAATCACTCTTTTCTGATTTGTTAGGGATTTCTCCATGCACATTTTATAGAGGGCTGATCTTATAGGGATAAGAAACACACAATGCCTTTTAGGTGGTACAGATTTTATACTATATACTTTGCTCTAAATTAAGCTTTAACCAAGGAAGAAGAATGAGGGTGCAGGCAGTAGGCATTTGGTGTTCCATGCAGTTAACATGGTGTGTGTGTGTGTGTGCGTGTGCATGTGTGTACGTGTGTGTGTGTTTGGTGTGAGGGGAGAGAATATGGACAACAGGCTGTCTTGGGCACACGTAATCTAAAATATATAAATAAAAAAGAGACCCAAGAGGGCTACGGTTGTAGCTCAGTGGTTGAGCGCTTGCCTCGCATGTGTGAAGTATTGAGTTCGATCCTCAGCACCACGTAAAAATAAATAAATAAAGATATTTTTCAAAAAGAGAGACCCAAGAGGCTGCATTAGAGTTTTTTGTTTGTTTGTTTGTTTTTGTTTTTTTAACTGAACAAGATAACAATGCTTAAATGAAAGATTTAACTAAAGGATTAAGTCTCTCTGCTCATCATGTTAGGGACTGACAGGATAAAAGAAAGGTTAGGTCAAACCTTTCCAACTCAATCTGATATGAATTTTTCTGAATGAAAGCATATGTCCAACTCCTTTTTCCCTGAAAATGCCTCACTTGGAGGAGATCCTGAGACCCACCTGCACAAGATATACACTGAGGTGAGGTTGGAACAGAGTTTCAGTTAAAGAAATTGGAAAGTCAACAAAAGATAGTGAGACAGTTTCCAATGCCAACAGCATAAGCCACACATTGCATAGTGGGTACAGCTATGCAGCCTAATGGTACTCCACACTGGGCATAATATTCTCAAACCCTCCCCAGACCTCACCTTGGGTAAAGATCCAAACCCAGCTCTGTCCTCAAGACACAGCTTACCTCTCAAATAGCCTAATGTACACTCATTCTCCCACATGTTCCATGTCATGGGGCAGAAAGATCATGTCAGTATCCCACAGCTCCCCACTGTCCCTTCCCAGTAACCAATCACACTCTAATAATTCCCTGCAGAGCACTTCCTGGTCACTGCTCACCACTTTGCTTGACAAACTTGCTCTCATCCATTATTTCTTCTCTCAGTAGTTGACATCATCCAAGCTAAGGGCCAAGAGATGTTTTAGATGCCACCCTGGTCTGATACTTCCCATATCCACATAGCCAAAGATCCTTATAGGTTACCCCAACATCTCTGGAATACCTTCCTCTTCCTCTTCCAGACTACTATATTCTAGGACTTAAGATTAGGTCGGGATAGGAAGAGCCCTGGAAGATGAAAACTCGGTCCTCTTCCATACCAAGACCATCTTCTTACTGATGGGGCTATCTGGACCAAGTCAAAGGGTCAAAATGAAGAGCATTAATTCAAAAAAAAAAAAAAAAAAAAAAAAGAAAGAAATTCTGGACCAGATCTAAAGGATAAAAGATGCAACTAGAATTCCCAGAAAATGAACCAAAGATCATCTTAAAGCAAACTGTGACAAGGAGATTCTGCTCAGAGATGCAAAAGCCAGTGCAACAATGTGATTTTCATGGCAGACAAAGACAGCACACCCAGGCTAGTATGGAAAAACCATCCCAGGAAAACAGAAGAGATCAAGAGAGGGAGTTCTGAGCAGTCTTTGTTTCCTATATAGAATTTGCAGAAAGATCTGCAGCTCAGAAAAGAACTAGTCTCATGCTCAAATAGTTATCAGTCAATCAAAATCTCAGACTTTAGAAAAGGGAATCAATAAGACAGGAACTATTAGGATTTTAAAGTTTTCTATTAAAAAGGCAGCAACTGGGTACAGTGGTGCACACATGAAATCCCAGCTACTCAAGAGAATCACAAGTTTGAAGCCAATCTGAGCAACTTAGCAAGACACCATCTCAAAATTAAAAATTAAAATAAAATGGTTTGGGTATGTGGTTCAGTGTTAGAGCTCCCCTGGGTTAATCCCCAGCACCCTGCCCCCGCCCACACATACACAGACAGCAGTACCAAATTAAGGCCATCAAGCTGTCCTCTAAGGGTAGCTACCAATCCCTATTAATTATGTTTCAGTAGCACAATGTCAAGCAAAAATGGCTAACAATGTTTTTTTCTCTGAATAAGCTTTGTTAACTTTCTGGCTTTGTTTAAGTATAAAAAAAGTCAGGGTGAATTTCAGAGATCCAAGTTATATTATTGTCCCTGATTCCAGAAACATCTCAGTGTAAAAAGTCAAATGTAAGAATTCAAATATAAAGCAGTCAGATTAAAAGGAGTCATCAAAGAATCCAATCCCAGACCTCAAGTCAAAGGAAAAACAATTCTAACAGACAAAAAACTCAAGGCATCAAGAAAAATGATCAATCACTAACCAAATCTTCAAATCAAGAGAGAAGTGTCACCATTCTATCATCTAAACTACTCAAGTGGCTTCTAAAGTCTGTCTCCTAACAAAAATCTCACATGCCCTAGTTTTCATCGTATGCCAAATAACAGTAGTGACCAACCACATCCACATATATGGACAAAAAAATGATAAAGAAAGAAGGACCTCTTCTATGAAATCCAACCACCTTCAAAGTCATTCACATTGTCTGAGTTTGGTTCACCCAGATATTTGCTTGGCAATTAAAAAAAAAAGCCATTTATACTACCCCTGGTAACTGCTCTTCTGGAATGGAAAAAAAATAGGCAAATATACATGTTTTTAATTATGTTGCATTTTAACTCTCAAATGTAAAAGAATAGAATTAACCACAAAGACTGTGTCTGCAAAGGACCCCAGGCTCTACCTTGCCAGCCTGATGCATCTGCCATCTTTGAAGACCTGGCCTTCTCTCTATAGGAATTCATTCCACATTGGTCCTGAATCTGGAGCAAAGCCCTCAGACAGAGAACACCCAGAGCAAAGGCAGTCAAGTAGGGTGCCTGGCTAGTTACAACAGCAAAGCTGCACCCAGGGCAAAAAGCAGTCAGCATGGGAGCCATCTGAAGCAAAGATGAACAGCACCAGGAAATTGAGAGGGAAAACAAAGAGGGATCTGTCTTGCCTCTTTCAGATTCCTCACTCCCATTTAAGATTTTGTGGGTGTCTTTCCACCTTTCTGGTATTTCCTAAGAGGAAGAAAATTACAGTTTTCTATTTCCCTAGATAGAGGTTGCTATTGCCTGTTTTCAATAACTGAGGCAGGATTTACAAAGGTGGGCTCAGCTGGGTTCATATCTCAGTTCTGTCACTTATTAGCTGTGCAACCTCTGGCAAGTAAACTCACCTGCCAGGCCTGTTTCCTTGTCTATAAAAGAGAGGATGATTATAATGTGCCTCTGGCAGATTGATGAAAGGTGAGTCATACATTTCATAAATTCCTTAATTGAGAAGCACTTAGTGAAGGGCACAAAGGAATTTACTATTTGTTTTTATATTTTATCTGTTACCTTTAATCTTTAACTGGAATATAGCCACAGAAAACTGAAATAATTAGCTCACACATGGCTAAAGAGAGGGTCCAAAGGAAACCCCATCCTGGAATGGCAAGTTCTTCCAAACTCGTGCCAACAGTGATAACCCAATGCAAGACCCAGACAAGCAGGTATCACACATGGGAGAAGTTACGTCCACACCTGGCTTGGTGAATAGCCTCCATCCACTCTTTACCATCCTGCTCCTCCTCACAGCGCAGCTCCAGTGGCTTCTGACCTTCATGGCCAAAAAGAACAGTAAAGTAATACTGGAAAGAAACAAACACAGAAGTTTAGTTTTATCTTTTGAGCATAAAAGCATAATAACACAGTATATGCCTATACAAAGTATATATTTACAAAATACATCGATTTTATGTAAGTCATATTTCAAAGTGAAAATATCATTCCTGGCCCAGTTAGCAATGACTGCAGCTAGAAGACAACATAGACCACATCTTAACACCCATCAGCAAGAGTCAACCCACAACCCTACTGCACTATGTATTTTTATACAAGTACAAGAAGAACATTGCCCAAATCTGGCTTTAAAGATATATTAGTGTTATCATGAAAATTTTTCCAAAAATGTTTCCCTTTTGTGGGGTGTGAGAAAGTGGCAGGCACATAAGTCCATACCACTGCACTGGCTAGTTCTATTATTTATTCTATTCTGCATCTATTCTGCATTCTGGAAAGAAATATATCTAAAATTATATTGAATCATTGCCATTTGCCTACCCTTCAATCTTAGTGGACATCACCATTGCTTATTCCTTATTTTCCTAGACAGATTATACTTGATATAAGAAGGAACCCTAATCATCATCCTTGGGGTTAAGAGCAGAATTTTTTTTTGGTAGAAGTGGAATCTAAGTTACTGTCAGACAAAAGGAACTGGGATTAAGTAGAGAAAAGTCATAGGGCCATTTATTGGGATAAAATGATTTCTCTCATATGAATTTTATTCATAATCACTAAAAACTGGAAACAACCATATATCTTTTAGTAGTTAAATAATGCTGGTACATCTTTACAATGGATACTACTCAGCAGTAAAAAGGAACAAACCCTTGATAAACCCAGCAACTTGGATGCCTCCCAAAGTGTCATGTCACAAAAAAGTCATTCTCAAAAGGTTATATATGCAATGATTCCTTTTGTTTGATATTTCCAAAGTAGTGTCAGAGAACAGATCAGTAGTTTGGGGGAGTCATGGTGGGGATGTGTGATGGTAAAGGGATGGTGTGGGGGAGTCTGGGGGTTGATAGAACGGTTCTGCGTCATCATTATGAGGGTTACACAAATCCAAATAGGTCATAGAACCATGCACCAAAGAAGGTGAATCATATGCTGTTGATTCAAAGACTTTAAAAATCATATATGATTACTCAAGATTCTCATTAGGATTCAAGAATACAAGTAATCAGATAAATAAGTCTTACACAGACTCCCAAACTCACACTGGGCCACCAAACCGCTTTGTGCTCCAGCCAAGACAGATGTGAAATGGGGAATCTCACAACCATATACAGAGTTCATGGACCATAGTTCTAAAGTAGATTTCTTTAAAAATCTTGGTATAATCTATTAGTATGTGAAATACATATCTGGCACTGAGTTTGCTCTGTATTAGAGAAAGTAACAAATGTCTGAGTCAAAGATGCATTGTCCTTTGACAGCACTTGTGAGCAATATACTCAATAGATCACAATGAATCAGTATTATCTCAGAAGTCTTTAAGTTGTGATTGACTTGCTTGGACATTTGAAGATCTGCTCTAGCCTATGAAGTTCTGAAATGCTTCAAAACAGCTGTGAGGTCCAGAAAAACTTGTGGTGCCTCTAGAGTAAGTGTTCATCTGCCTCATTTTATTTCCAAGCCCCTTAGAATGTGTCCTCTCCAATTTCCTGAACACCATGAACTGACCCAGGATGAAGTAGTAGACAAGCTAAAGGAAAATTCCAAGCTGAACCAAACATACATATTTAAGCTTAAGTGGAGGGAGGAAAACAGAGGGATCCTCAGATTCCAGAAACAAAGATAAGAGGCGAAGCCAAGCAGAAAGCATGGGAACTGAGGGGTAACACACTAGACCTTCTCAGCCAGGAGACAGAGTTCTAACATCCACAGGGGCTGAAACACATGGTCTTGGGCCTGTACAAGACACCAAGGTGGAATCAAGACCCTGCATAATACCAGGGCACATGAGAGGCTCACACTTCCGCACAACAGAAACCAGAAAAACTCCACCCCAAGTCCACTGTATGCCAGGATAATTTCCAAACGCATTAGAAATTTTGGTGAAAAAATTAAATCAAAACAGGGACTGGGGTTGCAGCTCAGTGGTAGGTAACTTGCCTTGCATGTATGAGGCACTGGGTTCAAATCTCAGCACCACATAAAAATAAATAAAGATATTGTGTCCATCTACAACTAAAAAAAATAATTTAAAAATTAAACCAAAACAAATACATTTTTAAATGATTGATTGATAACTGTACCTCTAAGTAGGAAAAATTGTCTTAACTATGGTTTAAAATCCTGAAACAGTAAGATAAAAGACCAATGATTGAATTACATTAAAAAGTCTACATAACAAGACCACTGCAAACAATGCATAAAGACATGTAACAAACTGGAAATATATGTATAATTGATATAAAAGTGATAATGTCCTTTATGTATAAAGATAATCATGTGATTGTTCTTTTTAGCCTCCTCATATGGATTTCCTAATATTTATAACTTCCATGGCTGTATTAATTATACAAGTAACTCAATTTTCATTGTTGATTTTGAAGCACTAGGAATTAAACCCACACGTTCTATGCCATTGAGATATATCCCAACCCCTTTATTAATTATTTATTTTTAATTTTGATACAGGGTCTTGCTAAGTTGTTGAGGCTGGCATTGAACTCTTGATCCTCCTGCCTTACTTTCAAGGGTAGCTGGGATTACAAAATATGACACTGGGTCTTTTTATTGACTTAAATTTTAATTGTTTTTGAAATAATTTAAGCTTATAGAAAAGTTGCAAGAACTAAAATACAGTAAAAAAAATTTCTATTGGCCAAATTATATTGTTATATTGTGTGCAGGTACAACTATCTGACAACAAATCCCACCATTATATACAATTATAATGCACCAATTGTAAAAAAAAAAACTGAGTTACCTTGAAAATGATATTCTTAAAATACAGAAAGTGAACATTAAAAATAAAATGATAGAAAAGATAAACTCTAGTCAAAAGACAAAAGTTGGACTATAATATCAAATGTGATAAAGAAGATCCTATATCAATAAAAGAATCAATTTCCTAGGAAGTATAGCAATCCTGAATGTGCATCATTATATTGGACTTTAGTGAGTTTTCATTCAGTTACATCTTCTGGCCCCCTCAAGATGCCCAGACCAGATCTTTGGTTAGAATATCAGATTTCCTCTCCTGTGGTGATGTTGCAGAAGTTGTTGATATAGTCAATGAGCCTCTCCACCAGATATTTCTTCTAATTTTCTCTGAATTCTCAGCTACTAAAGACAAGACACCATATACATGTTGCTCCATGGGGGATCCCTCCAAAGGTCCCAACTCAAGGCTTTGAGCCTGATTCTCATTCCGATCCATTCCTGGAATGATTTTTCAGGGATTCTCAAACTCCCAACTGCCTCTGCTTTCTATGGAGTTCACACTTGGAGCTTCAGGTTTTCCACTGAAGAAAGTATTTTTGTCATACTTTTAGATCACCAAGATTATTTTCCTATTTTTACAAATAGCTATGCCATTTTAATTTTCGTAAAGCCTATATTTCACTGATGTTTCGAGCAAGGGCAGAAGGGGGTTATAAAAACATGATATTTTAATGTATGAACTCTTAACATTATCGTAACTGTAATTACCAAAACAAATACTTATATAAGCCTCTTTAAAGCACCTATGTATGAAAGGGAAAGGAGATAAGTGGTTGTCACAAGCTTAGGAGAAGAGAGGACGCGGACTGACTGCTAATGGTGTGGAGTTTTTAATTTATTTTAATTAATAGAATTTTTTTAGAGCAGTTTGGGTTTACAAAAAAATTGAGCAGAAAGTACAGGGAGTGTCCCTCCCCCAACTCCTGCACACCCCACACATGGTTTTTCCTATTATCACAATTTGCATGTATGTGGCATATTTGGTAAAGCTGATGAACAAATATGGATACATGTAGTGTATCCACAGTATATTCAGGTTCATTCCGTGCTGCACATTCTGTGGGTTTAACAAATGTATAATGTTGTGCATTGACCACTACTGAGTTTCCTTCTGGGCCTGGTGAAAATGATTGGCACTTAGATAGTGGTGATGGTTTCCCAACCTTGTGAATATACTAAAACTCACTAAATTATATACTTTAAAATTATGAATTTTATGATATGATTTATATCTAAATTTATTTTAAATGGGAAAAAATAAGCAGTAAGAAACAGTGGAAGTCTGGCACGGTAGTGCACGCCTGTAATCCCAGCAATTCTGGAAGCTAAGGCAGGAGGATCATGAGCTCAAAGCCAACCTCAGCAGATTAGGATGGCACTTAGCAACTCAGCAAGACCCCGTCTCTAAATAAAATATAAAAAAGGGCTGAGGAGGTGGTTCAGTGGTTAAGTGCCCCTAGATTCAAGCCCCAGTACAAAACAAAAAACAGTGGGGGTGGGGGAAATAACTATGTGCTAATTCTTTGGATTACCAATTTCTATGTGCAAATTCTTTGGATTACCAGTTTCTAGTCATTCTTATCCATTTTTGAGATCTTTTCCCCAAATCTTTCAGCTTTCACAAGCTGGTTTGCTCTGATCTGCCCTTTATTTGGTAACTGTTGATCTAGCAGCTACTACTCCCAAAACCACTGTGCTAAGCTTGTGAAGGATAAAGAAAGTTAATCCAGCCTACCTTCTGCCCTCAGAAAATGGCCTTTAAATCTTTACAAAGACATATGCAGCACTTCCAACTTACTCAATTAGTCATACTTTTTAACTAACTTACCTGGGTTTCTTGCTTAGATTTGCTACATAGCAGAGCTGCCTGGAGTTGCAGCAGCAGCCAGAGATTACTTCACCTATGGTTCTCTAAGCCTTCTCTCTCCCGGGCCCTGCTGTACTGCTGTCTATTTATCTTTTAGTTGTATGTGCATCTGTGGTGTCAAGAGTGAGTGAACATACTTGACTATGTTCCTGTGTGCGCTTGTGTATGCACCCTTGCTAGGTCTAGCCGAGAGTTTCCTTCACA